TTGTGCTTTGGACAAACAGACCTCTTAGATCCTTGGGTAAACATCTCCAGCAGAATTTGAATAACCTTGGACTCTTGAATCTTCCCATACATTGAAAAGCATTAACATCACTGACTTCAGATATTTGTTTTTTGTGACTAGAAGTAGTCTTTTACTAAGATGTATACTTGACTGTATGTATTTCCTAGCCAAAAATCATACATAAACTGGTTTTGTCCACTATCTCTTTGAAGCAGTTTCCTCAGAGCTAACTCAGTGGCTGTCTCCAAGCTATAGTCCTCAGTAAGACCTTGAACACAACTTAAACTGACAACTCTTATGTTGTGTCTTTTTAAGTTGACATAAGACATGATGTAACTTCAATAATTAAGGCAGTGTGATAGAGTACACAAAAAATAAAGTAACAATAAAAAATTCAGAAAGAGACCACCATTTGATTTATATCAACACTTGATTTATAACAGAGGTGGCACTGCAGGATAGTGGATAAAAATTGCATGTGCATGATTTCAATAAGATGTGCAGAGTCAATTAATAGTCGTATGGAAAAAAATGCATCTTTACTCCTTCTTCATAATATACACACAAAGGAATGCAATGTGAATTAATGATCTAAGTGCAGATGGTAACACTAAGGTTTTTAGAAGAAAACATGCAAGTATATCTTTATGAAAGGCAAAGAATTCTTCAACAAACTATGTGCATATACACATAAAATACTAGCCTTAAAAGGAAATATTGGCAAATTTTAAACTAAAATTAAGAGATTCTGTTTTTTAAACACCACCACTGACCAGTTCCACTTCCAGCAATGGAGGAATATCTTCTGTCAAGCTTTTCTAGAATTAATAATTATAAACCTTGGAAAAAATATTAAAAAACATATGAAGGTAGTACAGAGTGACCAAAAACTGGCAAAAAACTGTCTTAGAGAAAAATAATGAAGAGAAGGGACTATACTGGGTGAAATTTAAAAGCTGTCTCAAAGAAAACTAATGAAGAGAAGGGGCTATACTGGGTGAGATTCACATACATATAGTTTCTTGCCAGAGAGCACTGGCCAGTCCAGGTGAGGTAGAGGAGCTAAAAATTAAGCAGAAAACCACAGTATAACAGGCTATAGGAGTCAGAACACAAAGACTGGGGCTGCAGCATAGCTGAAAAGTGAAATATGTGAAATAATGATCATAATGATCATTTTCACTGGTAATTAGGGAAATGAAAATATAAATGACAATGAAATAGAATTCATTATATCAAAATGGTGGTGATATTAGTTATGTTAATATCAATACCTTGTGAAAAGTCTTTTGTCAGCAACTTCTACCTAGTTACAGCTGGTTTCAGTTGAGGAGGAAGAATCCAGAATGATGGAACTGGTCAAGCACAGAGTTAGAATTATCTCGATTTACCAAAAAGCTATTTCTTAGGTGTACCTTTTAAGTGACCAAACCAAGATTAGGCTATTACTTTTTTCTAAATAGCCAAGTCAAGGAGGTTTGTCATTCCCTGGATGACTCTTATCTTGAAACCATAGAAATATGACAGTCATTGACACTACTCAGACAAGTTTCACTTTATTTGTTCTCTTTATTTCACCCAGCCCATAAAAATGAATCAACCAACACTGAATGTTAACACATAAATCTGGGAAACTCTGATCATCTTAAAAGCTCTACCAGAAAGCCCTTATTTTTATTACCACTACTATCATCATTATCATCATCTTCAACATCATCACTATCTTTGTTCCTGACTCCACCATAATAACCAGAATACTATGTACAGGTAAATGGAATTTTATTTGGGAGATTAAGTCTATAAAAGCTAACAGGTTGCTACAGAGTAGCTTCTAGTTTTTTGTTCATTGGTTGCTTTTTATAATTTAGATTTTTATTTCTGGATCCATGCTATTGTTTCTGATATCTAAAGGCCTTGTAAAGTCTCTGGGAAAATTTCAGAAATTTGGAAAATCTTAAATGTTAGCAAAATTTTATTTGCTATTTTAAAAATAAGCATACATAAGAATACCACTGGGACTTCCCTGGTGGTTCAGTAGTTAAGATTCCACATTTCCAGTGCAGGGGCATAGGTTTGATTGCTGGTCAAGTAACTAAGATACCACATGTTGCAAGGTGCAGCCAAAAAAAAAAAAAAAAGGAATACTACCATTTTTGTTCTATAATAGTGTAACAAAAATCATGTTTTCTAATATGAATGTTAAAGAAATATTTAAAAAACCCGAAAGCCGTTATAGATTTTTGGAATAATATACTTTACAACACAGACCCTAAATTAGCACCTGGCAAATTGCAGGGGGCCCTCAAAACTTAATACATTTCCAAATAAGTTCCTTTCCAGACTCTAGGCTTTCCTAGAGTTCCAGAAAAAAGTTGGTTGTGGAGGCTCTTTGACTTATTTGATCATTAATTATTAATACTTTTTTCCTTATTCATAAGCCTCTCCCTATGTGGCTCAGATGGTAAAGAATCCTCCTGAAATCTGGGAGACCTGGGTTCGATCCCTGGGCTGGAAAGATCCCTTCAAGATGGAAAAGGCTACCCACTCCAGTATTCTGGCCTAGAGAATTCCATGGACTATACAGTCCATGGGTTCGCAAAGAGTCAGAAATGACTGAATAACTTTAACAATGGGGAAAAAAAAAAGTATCTTTATAAGACTTGGGGAATTTTTCATTGGAATCATATTTCACACTGTTCACTATATAACAGAACTCAGGTCCATCCAATTCAAGTGGTTGGAAATGCAGTTTTAGTAAGTGAGAACTACAGTTTGTAAGGCTTTGTAATTTAACTGCTAATTCAGTATCAGAATTTGGTTATAAGGAAGTCTGATCTAGGATATGATACTGGGTATGGGCTGTGGGAGATAAATTATTGTGAGACAAATGTTTTAAAATTGTGGATACTGTAGTTACCATCATTTTAAACAATATTATAATTTGATTAAGGTAAATGGTTGAATTATACCAGAATAGCAATGAGCTCTTCCTTGAAGTAGATTCAGTCCAAAAGTGAGTCAGGTATAATTTAGTTTAGCATACAGAGTTGGTTAAATTTATTGAAGATTAATTTTTACCCTATTCTCTTTGTTAAACGAGAGGTTAATTCAGGAACTCAGATTTCTACCTTTAAAAAATTATGGCTAAGTTATATACTTGATAGGTGGGAGTAAATTATTTCATGAATGAAGTTTTTTGGATATTTAGAACATGATTTTAATGATTTCAGCTGTTATTAAAAATAATAATCAATTTCAGAATGCAAACATCATACTTACTAGAGGAGAAGTTGAATAAATCATAAGCTGTGATATTTTATATATAAAAAATCTCCTCAATTGTTTATGACAGGGAGAAATTCACAATTAAGGGGAAAAAGCAATACCAGTTCTATAGTCAACACTATGTATTCTTTAGAACTTTCAAGAACACCTAAAAGGGACCTTCACAGAAAAGCATTTATACACTGTAATATAGTGACTATTTTATGTAGAAACTATTTCAGCTACTTTCTGTACTATGTACATAATTTAGGCTATATAGTGCTTGAGTCTCTCAAACTAACATTCATGTCTCAGAGAGACTAAGCTACCAGCCTAAGTTACAATGGCTAAATTGTAACAAATGGCTAAATCAAAACAAATTGAGACTATCATAGTAAATTTTTCTACTTATTAGCAGACATATATTTTCAGATATTAATAAGGTTATAAATATTATTGTTCACATTAATTATATGCTCCTTTTAAAGTGTGATTCATCTAATATAAGAAATATTGTGCCCAAATAGCTTTTTTTCTATGAAAATGAGATTATACAAATGAACTCCAGTATAAAAGCACTAATGGAATGTAGGGAGTTTCTTTGAAGAGCTTTCACAGTGTTGGCATAGGGTAGTGTTAATAAACAAGTCATCAAAAGAGATATAAGGAAGAGGTAGGATTAAGAATTAAGAACAGAACAGAGAGGAAGTAACACTGGGTGGAGTTGCACAGGTGGGGCATAGTTATCTATAATTCATTTTTAAAGGATCTTCTCTACCAAAAAGTCAGTTAGTTCTGGAGGGATTAGAACAAAAAAGTTTTCCTGCTCATAGAAAATATCTAATTTGACAAATATATCTACTGATTACAAACTCTTCTGTTTTGTCATTTTTGTTTATTATAATGCAGAAAACAAAGATTGAAGAAACAGTTGAGGTTATTTTGAAATTTGAAATTGTGTGTGTGTGTTACAGCTCCAAATGAACTATTTCATGGCATCATGTCTTTCAAGATATGAAGAATAATGTCCAAACTTTATATAAATTAGATTAAGCCTGGCCATATGACCTAACTGTAAGCCTAGATCACTCTATCTGTGTGATGCCAACTTACAATATTTTCTGATTATTTTTCATCTAATTGATTCGTTGTAATGATGAAAGTTATCTATCTATTAAGTTATATTGTATATATAATCTAAGCTTATTGTAGAAACATTAAAGAGTACAGATAAGGAAGAAGTAAACGGAAAGAAAAAAGTCTATCCATAATCTTAAAACATGGGAAAGCTGAAATTGACATCATGATGCTTTCTGATACACTTAATTAAATATATAAATGATGTTATATGTTTTGTTTTTAAAACTATATATGTCCATGTATATGATGTAGCTATAGTTCCAAAGGTACAATCAGATCATGTATAAGGTTTTATAACCTGTTTTAAGTAAATTTAAAAAGTCAGTTGATTTTTCTTCATCAATATGAGAGCATAAACCGTGCTATTTTGTTCACTGTTGTATCCCCAGCAGCTAACATAGCACTCAAAGATGATCTGTTAAACGAATGAGCATTAGGGTCTATCCTCCTTGCACATTTGAGGCTTCTGTGTTTTAAGCTAACACAAAGATATGATGCACAAATTATAAATTGTGTTGTATGAGTTGGAGGAGAGACAGGTAAATTTAGAATACTTATCGTCTGATTCATCACAGCACACAGCACATCATCTGACTCAAGTCACCTTCCTTCTTTTGGTAGACACACCAGTGTATCTTCCCAGAGAAGATCTTGGCCATTATGGAGAACCATCCTTATTTTTCTTGGAGTCGTGGCAATCTTGGGATTAACTATTGGCCTCCTCGTCCACTTTCTGGCAGTTGGTCAGTAATGACTCTCATTTTCTTAAAAATTGACAAGAAACAAGAGGAATATTAAATTTCTTTGTGGAAAATTTCTCATCTAATTACTATTTTATTTCAACTTAATTTTACGTTATTTGACACCAAAGTTAGTCATTTTTTTAAATCAGATGCCTCTTTGATCCAGTCTATAAATTATATCATCAGCTATGGGAGTGTGGACAAGATTAAAATGCTCAATACTGTGATGCCAATATTCATTGTCAATGAAGGTGCTTGTAGAGTAGGTTTGTAGCTAACTTGTATCTTTTGGTAAAAAAAATATACCTCAAACGTCAGCGATTCCCTACACTTCTTGGTTCCTTCTGATATTGATTACTGAGATCTACACACACAATTGTGTCTGACTCTTTGCACCCCCATGGACTGTAGCCCTCCAGGCTCCTCTGCCTAAGGGATGTTCCAGGCAAGAATACTGGAGTGGGTTCCCATTCCCTTCTCCAGTGGATCTTCCTGACCAAGGGATCAAACCTGGGTTTCCTGTATTCCAGGCAGATGCTTTACCGTCTGAGCCAATGCTTGTGCTCATTGGTTGTTAAGATCCATTTGAGGAACTTCCCTGGTGGTCCAGTGATGAAGAATCTGCCTTGTAAGCAGGGGATGCATTTCGATCCCTGGTTGTGGAACTAAGAGCCCACATGCTGTGGAGCAGCTAAGTCCAGGCCAAAGCTAATGAGCCCACATGATCTGGAGCCCTTGTGTCATGACTAGAGAGTCTGTGCACCACAATGAAAGATCCCACATGAGGTAATGAAGATCCTACGTGTGGCAACTAAGACTTGATTCAGCCAAATATGTAAACAAACTTTTCTGAGTGACATAATTGATAAGAAGCTGTGGATGCTCCACTAATGGTTTTTCTAATAGTGGACAGTCAAGAGTGGCTAAATGGCTGAATGCTCATACTAACTTGATCTTATTTGTAATAACATTCATTAAGTTTACATCCAGAAAGCTGGTTTTATTTTTGTCTTTCAGGAAAAGTAAACACTGAAGTTTGTATATCCATTGAATGTTTTTAAAGAAACTTGGTGTGTGTTACTCCACTCGATCCTCACACTAATTCGCTGAGCCTGGGAGGGCAGGTTTACTACTGTCCCTCCTTGCACATGCAGGAAACTGAGGCTCAGGAAAGTCAAGTGACTTCCTAGACATCACAAGCTTTTTAGTATAGTTGAGCACAAACCCACATCCTAATACTTTAAGTGTACTATTCTAACAATACTTTCTCATGATTTTCCTGTTTTATTCCTCTGAAACATATCACCCTCTACAGTAATGCAATATGGATATATTTTGCTTGATTCAGTGACAATTTCAGTTCTTTTTCAACCTAGCCTCTTCTCCTTTGTTTTTACCCAACCATCTTAATATCAAATTTCAAAACTTATCCTTTGGAAGTGTAGTGGGTGCTCACGGTCTTTGCCTGCCTTGTCTATCCACCACCTCTCCATAGTCTGAATCTTGCTATCTACTTCTTATCTCTACTCATTAAAAAATAACTTTATTCACATAGTTTCCTTATGGATAGCACTCTGAGTTTTCCAAATCAGGCTACGTGAAGAAGCCTTGTCAGTATGTTAGTGGGGACCAGCAGCTTAATTAGCTAGCCTTCCAAAACATGGTTTGCATTTTAACAAGTCCTTTTTTTTAAAAGAAACAATGAATTAGTGGAAAGAAGTGATGCAAAATGGAGCCCTACAGTCATCCTGGCTTGAGCAGGAAGTGTGTGGGATGTGAATTTACTCGAGTTTGTTTACACGATCAGCTATCTACCATTTCAGATTCAATGCTAGACAAACTTATATTACCTAAATCTAAATTAGTTGAGCTGGACTTCTTGACATAAAATTAGACAATCAAACTTTGTTGTAAAAGTTGTTTGAAGTAATTTTGGAAGATGGACTTACTCTAGGACTCTGGTTTACGAATTCATACAGTCTTCTTTGTTAATACTGAGAGTAACTAGAGTTGGTTGAGAGCTAGGGGGACCTCTCTTTCAAGTGGTGATAATTTCCAAGTACTGATTATTAATTTTTAGATAAAGATATGGAGGGACTTGAGGTCAAGGTTATTTTAAAGTTTTCTAAGTATTTTTTTTTATTTCACAGAAAAGACTTACTATTACCAAGGTGATTTTCATATTTCTGGAGCCACATACAATGATAATTGTGAAAAAGCAGTTTCACAGTCCAGCACAGATCTGAGCAAAGATATTGAGACTAAGGTAAGTCAGAAGTTTATTTATTTTATTATAAATTTGGTTAAAACATACATGGTAGTTTTTTTGTTTTTTGTCTTGACAGATGTCTGATGCATTTCAAAATTCTAGTGTATACAAAGAATATATAAACTCTCAAGTCATCAAACTTCTGTAAGTAAAAATTCATTCAAGATGGAATGGCATGAGAAGTAGATAATATGTCACATCAGCCTCAGCTTTAAATAACAACAACAGCAAGAGACAGGGATAGAGGAAAAGAGAGAGAAGGAAGGAAGGGAGGAGAGAAGGGAAGAAAGGTAAAAAGAAAGGGACTAAAAAGTTCCCCATAAATTATAGCATCACTGTATTGAACAAATTTCTATTCAGGTAGGCAGTGTTCTGCTCAAATCTTTAATCTTTGTACTTGAAGGGGAATTATAAGGTTGTTGGTGGCAGTCAGTCCTGACTTCTATGATAAAAGATAATTGTAACTCTATGCAGAACCAGGAGTTCTAGCTGATTGTTTTGCTACTGATACACTAATCATCTCTTTTCCCATTCAATACCCATCTGGCCATACTTTTTCTAAAATAATCCTCTTTTATTCTCTCTAATAATTACCATCACTTTAATGATTGGAGAAAGTGAATCTTTTAAGGTAACTTGTCTAAATGTGTATTGTAATTGTGCTTGGTGTGGCGGGGGGTCGATGAGGGATGCAGGGAGGCAGGGTGACAAAGCACAGGGGATGAGTGACAACAGGGAGCGCTTGTGAGTCTGAACTCCCTAAACAAGACAAAATGAGACAAAAAATCCAGCTAGCCAACCAATCAACCAACTAACCAACCAACCAATCTACTTTCTTACAGACAGGCAAAAATCTTCAAAGGGTCTTCAATTAATCATAATTATTTGAAAATAAAGTTGACTTGGAAGGAAAGTTATGACCAACTTAGACAGCATATTAAAAGCAGAGACATTACTTTGCCAACAAAGGTCTGTCTAGTCAAGGCTATGGTTTTTCAGGGGTCATGTATGGATGTGAGAGTTGGACCATAAAGAAGGCTGATTGCCAAAGAATTGATGCTTTTGAACTATGGTGTTGGAGAAGACTCTTGAGAGTCCCTTGGACTGCAAGGAGATCCAACCAGTGCATCCTGAAGGAAATCAGTCCTGGGTGTTCATTGGCGAGACTGATATTGAAGCTGAAACTCCAATACTTTGGCCACCTCATGCGAAGAGCTGACTCTTCGCATTGGAAAAGACCCTGATGCTGGGAGGGATTGGGGGCAGGAGGAGAAGGGGACGACAGAGGATGAGATGGTTGGATGGCATCACCAACACAATGGACATGGGTTTGGGTAGACTCCGGGAGTTGTTGATGGACAGGGAGGCCTGGCATGCTGCGGTTCTTGGGGTCACAAAGAGGCAGACACGACTGAGCGATTAAACTGAACTGAACTGATACAAATACTTCTACAAGGATGTTTATAGTCATTTTCTTTGTAATAGCTAATCTATAAACAACCCAAAAGTTCATCAATGAGCATATAAGTTGTTCTATATACATAAAATGGAATCCTACTTAGTATAAAAAGGAATTAAATATTGATACATATAACATCACAGATTAGTCTACAATTATACTGAAAGAATCTAGGCTCCTCCCCCCCAAAAGAGTATATATTGTATGGTTCAATTTATATAAAAAACTCTGCAAAATGCAAAAAAAAAAAAAAAAAAGAAAATAAAGTTGAAGTTTTTTTTTCATCGTGCTTAATATGGATTTTTGTTTGAAAATCTTCCAAAATGAATTTATCTTCTTTCCTGATTAATAAAAATGATGTACTGAATATGTAGAAAATAGAAATTGTCTTCATGCTTTAGAGTTATCTTTCTGAACTTTCTCATTGCATAGATCTATTGGGGTGGACATGTATAAGAATCTATAGGAAGAAGTTTAATACTGGTTCCCAAAGACATGTTAGAAGTTGTCTTTTGAATAGTTCCAGACCCTGCATTTAAGTTCTCATTTATCTTTTCTCTAAAATTAAGCTATTAGAAAATATCTATATAAGAACACTATTTTTTCTACAATACAATAAAATCTCAAGGCAGTTATTTCTTGGCCAGTACTCAGTTTCTTACATGTGTTTGAGATATTCTGATTTCTAGTTTGCGGTTCACATCCTTTTTCATGAACAATACCTCTTAACCAGTTAGGTTCTTAGGGACCATTATACTTTATATATACTGAGACAATATCTGTATTATTTTTTAATATATGTAAACGCAATATAGTAATTAAAATGTGGGAAATCTAATGTGTTCATGAAACATCTAAAAAATCAGAAAGTAGTGCACTAGAACATTTCTGTTATTTCTAGTCCTGATTCCAATGGTTCGAGTGTACATTTACAGTTGACATTCAAGTTTCCTCCAGTAAAAAAGAATAGCATGAGGACTAAAATCAAGGCTATCTTACATCAGATGTTGAAGGACAACATGGCATCCTGGAACGCAGTTCCCACTTCCATTATACTTACAGGTATTTTACTTTTTTATGTTATTTTCTATTACTTAAGTACCTAGACTATTAAAAAAAAAAAAAGGACTGGAAAAAAAAAGAACCAAAATTTTTAGGAATTTTCTTAGGAAAAATTAGTTTTCCCAACTGTGGCCCTTCTACAATTGAGATGGTATTGTAAAGGGGAGTGTTATAGACTGTCTGAACAGTGATAGAAATAAGTGTTAAGCTACAGGCATGCTCGTGAGTTTGGAAGGATTGGCTGTAATGGATGAAAAGGGGGTGAAAAATAATAACTGAAACCATATTCCTCCTTGTGCTCTGCTTAGACACTCAGTCGAGTCCATGATGCCATGGATTGTAGCCTGCCAGGCTTCTCTGTCCACGGGGATTCTCCAAGCAAAAATACTGGAGTGGGCTGCCAAGCCCTCCTCCATATATTCCTCCTTATCTTCTACTTATGTCAGGATCTCGTTATAAAAAACAAACTTGGGGTTTTCTTGATCATTCAGTGTAAAGATTGCAGGAATAAGGGTAAAGTTGAAGATTAGGGAATTCTCATTGCTTCTTGTGGAAGAATGGAAGTAATACTATTAAAGATAAAGTTTGCCTGAAATAATTCCTTAAAAAACAAGGGAAGAAAATGATAGGATTTTGCCCTAGTTCAGAAAGTAATTATTCAGAAATTTTTTATGGTTTTGCAAAGATCTTGAACTCTAAACTTTGATTATTAAAAAGTCTGTTAGGTGATAAGCTTGTGTTTCCAAAGCCCAGTTTTGTGATTTTTCCAGGCTGACAATAGATCCTAGTATCCTTGAAGGCTATAATGGTCACCAGCTGCCAGTTACAGCTCCTTCGCTTCAATACAGTCTCTGTTACCAATGGGCCACTCATGAGAAGTGAGTTTGAGTTAGAGCTTCTGCAAGGAGCAAGATAATTCCTTTGTGCTTAGTCATTAGGAAAGATGGTTGTACCAGTTACGGCCCCTCTGTCTCCTAAGAATTCTGGGTCAACACTTTCCGATGTGCCTTTTTTTTATGTTCTCTCTTTTCTTTCTCTCTAAGATCTCTTTCCAAAAGAAAAGAGACTTAAATTTAAGTCAAATTCTCAAAATTTCATAATTCAGTCTAAGTAATGAGATGACCTCTAAACAGCAGGGTAGGAGCAATAAAATGTAATTTTAATTGCTATTTTTCTTTAAAATAGGGACAACTCTATTTCAAAATAATGAAAATTATCATAGGTGAAAAAAATCCAAAGATTATTCCCAGTACCTCTTTTTTGCCTATACCACCTGGTAGAGATGTGGAGAGATGGCCAAAATAGAGCAAGTAGGAGTCAGAGGGGTTGATAAATAATATGTGAACTAATCTGAATAGTTAAATATTGGGTATAATTGGGTTGGGAAATTTAGTCCTTTGGTTGAAGAGAATTGCTTGGTGATATTCTATTAACCTTATGTTTTTGTTTCTTAATTTCAGAAATCAGCAAGTATAATGCTGAAATGCTTAACAACAACTGTAAGTTTAGAAACTTTATTATAAATTTAACACATTCATAAATATTTCCCCATCATCTTGCTACAACGTTTCTAGAAGTACTTCATATTAGAAATCTATAGTAGTCTTTCAAAATTATTGGCGATGCCACATATCTGTCTAGCATTTCTTTTTGAAAAACACTGATTATTTGCCTGATGAACTATGGATGGAGCTTCATGACACTGTACAGGAGACAGGAATCAAGACCATCCCCATGGAAAAGAAATGCAAAAAAGCAAAATGGCTGTCTGAGGAGGACTTACAAATTGTTGTGAAAAGAAGGAAAGAGAAAACCAAAGGAGAAAAGGAAAGATATACCAATTGGAATGCAGAGTTCCAAAGAATAGAAAGGAGAGATCAGAAAGCCTTCCTCAGTGATCAATGCAAAAAAATAGAGGAAAACAATAGAATGGGAAAGACTGGAGATCTCTTCAAGAAAATTAGAGATACAAAGGGAACATTTCAGGCAAAGATGGGCTCAATAAAGGACAGAAATTATAGGGACCTAATAGAAGCAGAAGATATTAAGAAGAGGTGGCAAAAATACACAGGAGAACTGTACAAAAAAGATCTTCACAACCCAGATAATCATGATGGTATGATCACTCACCTAGAGCCAGACATCCTGGAATGTGAAGTCAAGTGGGCCTTAGGAAGCTTCACTATGAACAAAGCTAGTGGAGGTGATGGAATTCCAGTTGAGTTATTTCAAATCCTGAAAGATGATGCTGTGAAAGTGCTGCACTCAATATGCCAGCAAACATAGAAAGCTCAGCAGGGGCCACAGGACTGGAAAAGGTCAGTTTTCATTCAAATTCCAAAGAAAGGCAACGCCAAAGAATGCACAAACTACTGCACAATTGCACTCATCTCACACGCTAGTAAAGTAATGCTTAAAATTCTCCAAGCCAGCCTTCAGCAATACATGGACTGTGAATTTACAGATGTTCAAGCTTGTTTAGAAAAGGCAGAAGAACCAGAGATCAAATGGCCAACATCCGCTGGATCATTGAAAAAGCAAGAGAGTTCCAGAAAAACATCTATTTCTGCTTTATTGTCTATGCCAAAAGGCTTTGACTGTGTGGATCACCATAAACTGTGGAAAATTCTGAAAGAGATGGGAATACCAGACCACCTGACCTGCCTCCTGAGAAACCTGTATGCAGGTCAGGAAGCAACAGTTAGAACTGGACATGGAACAACAGACTGGTTCCAAATAGGAAAAAGAGTATGTCAAGGCTGTATATTGTCACCCTGCTTGTTTAACTTATATGCAGAGTACATCATGCAAAATGCTGGGCTGGATGAAGCACAAGCTGGAATCAAGATTGCCGGGAGAAATATCAGTAACCTCAGATATGCAGATGACACCACCCATATGGCAGAAAGTGAAGAAAAACTAAAGATCCTCTTGATGAAAGTGAAAGAGGAGAATCGAAAAGTTGGCTTAAAGCTCAACATTCAGAAAACTAAGATCATGGCATCTGGTCCCATCACTTCATGGGAGATAGATGGGGAAACAGTGGAAACAGGGGCTGACTATTTTTCGGGGCTCCGAAATCACTGCAGATGGTGATTGCAGCCATGAAATTAAAAGATACTTACTCCTTGGAAGGAAAGTTATGACCAACCTGGATTGCATATTAAAGAGCAGAGACATTACTTTGCCAACAAAGATCTGTCTGGTCAAGGCTGTGGCTTTTTCAGTGGTCATGTATAGATGTGAGAGTTGGACTATAAAGAAAGCGGAGCACCGAAGAATTGATGCTTTTGAACTGTGGTGTCGGAGAAGACTCTTGAGAGTCACTTGGACTGCAAGGAGATCCAACAAGTTCATCCTAAAAGAGATCAGTCCTGAGTGTTCATTGGAAGGACTGGTGTTGAAGCTGAAACTCCAACACTTTGGTCACCTGATGCGAAGAGCTGACTCAATTGAAAAGACCTGATGCTGGGAAAGACTGAGGGCAGGAGGAGAAGGGGACGACAGAGGATGAGATGGTTGGATGGCATCACCAACTCAATGGACATGGACTTGGGTGGACTCTGGCAGTTGGTGATGGACAGGGAGGCCTGGCATGCTGTGGTTCATGGGGTTGCAGAGTTGGACACAACTGAACAACTGAACTGACTATTTGTAATGGGTTGTCCAAAAGGGTGAAGTGAGAATTATTTTCAGAAAATGGATTCATGAAGAATATCATGGCTGACAGTCATCAAGACAGTATGGTACTGGCACAAAGACAGAAATATAGATCAATGGAACAGAATAGAAAGCCCAGAGATAAATCCACGAACCTATGGACACCTTATCTTTGACAAAGGAGGCAAGGATATACAATGGAAAAAAGACAACCTCTTTAACAAGTAGTGCTGGGAAAACTGGTCAACCACTTGTAAAAGAATGAAACTAGAACACTTTCTAACACCATACACAAAAATAAACTCAAAATGGATTAAAGATCTAAATGTAAGACCAGAAACTATAAAACTCCTAGAGGAGAACATAGGCAAAACACTCTCCGACATAAATCACAGCAGGATCCTCTATGACCCACCTCCCAGAATATTGGAAATAAAAGCAAAAATAAACAAATGGGACCTAATGAAACTTAAAAGCTTTTGCACAACAAAGGAAACTATAAGCAAGGTGAAAAGACAGCCCTCAAATTGGGAGAAAATAATAGCAAATGAAGCAACAGACAAAGGATTAATCTCAAAAATATACAAGCAACTCCTGCAACTCAATTCCAGAAAAATAAATGACCCAATCAAAAAATGGGCCAAAGAACTAAAAAGACATTTCTCCAAAGAAGACATACAGATGGCTAACAAACACATGAAAAGATGCTCAACATCACTCATTATCAGAGAAATGCAAATCAAAACCACAATGAGGTACCATTACACGCCAGTCAGGATGGCTGCTATCCAAATGTCTACAAGCAATAAATGCTGGAGAGGGTGTGGAGAAAAGGGAACTCTCTTAGACTGTTGGTGGGAATGCAAACTAGTACAGCCACTATGGAGAACAGTGTGGAGATTTCTTAAAAACCTGGAAATAGAACTGCCATATGACCCAGCAATCCCACTTCTGGGCATACAGACTGAGGAAACCAAATCTGAAAGAGACACGTGTACCCCAATGTTCACTGCAGCACTGTTTATAATAGCCAGGACATGGAAGCAACCTAGAAGCCCATCAGCAGATGAATGGATAAGGAAGCTGTGATACATATACACCATGGAATATTACTCAGGTGTTAAAAAGAATTCATTTGAATCAGTTCTAATGAGATGGATGAAACTGGAGCCCATTATACAGAGTGAAGTAAGCCAGAAAGATAAAGAACATTACAGCATACTATCACATATATATGGAATTTAGAAAGATGGTAATGATAACCCTATCATTATCAGACATATCAAACAGAAAAAGAGACACAGATGTACAGAACAGACTTTTGGACTCTGCGGGAGAAGGCGAGGGTGGGATGTTTCGAGAGAACAGCATCAAAACATGTATATTATCTATAGTGAAACAGATCACCAGCCCAGGTTGGATGCATGAGACAAGTGCTCAGGCCTGGTGCACTGGGAAGACCCAGAGGGATCGGGTGGAGAGGGAGGTGGGAGAGGGGATCAGGATGGGGAATACATGTAACTCCATGGCTGATTCATGTCAATGTATGACAAAACCCACTACAATATTGTAAAGTAATTAGCCTCCAACTAATAAAAATAAATGAAAAAAATAAAAGATAAAATTTAAAAGAATGTTTTAAAATGAAAGAAAAAAGAATATCATGGCTGAATTATTTTTTTTTTGTTTTAAGCGTAGGAAAAAATTAAGGTAATGAGACACTGAGGGTAATAAGAAAATGCAAAACTAGGCTATATCAAATGTGTTTATTATAAGTTAAAAAACACAGTCTGTACTTTTTAAGCAAATTCTCTTAAGAGTATCATGTGGCCCACAGTTTGATACATCCAGGCATTCATTCATTCAGTGGATATTTATGGAGCATATGTTGTCCACATGGGGTTTTACAGACAGCATTGTACATGCTATGTAAGATATTAATGAAGCAAAGTCTCCACCTTTAAAATTATGCAGTCTACTTGGGGAGACTAGAATTATAACAGATAGATACAAGAAAGGTCAACAGTTGAAAGATTCTTGAAACTGGAAAAGAGGAAAAGTAAAAGTCATCAAAACAAGGATGGAGTGCTACCATAATAAATGTACATTCTGGAAAGAAACAGCATTGGTTAGGAGATACAGGACAATCATTGAAGGGTTTCAAGAACTGTTTTAAAATGTATTTCTTATAAAGCATAATCAAAGTTACCTGCTCTTGTATAAATAAATCCTTTTTTCAGGTTGTGGGAGAAGACTCACCAACAGTATCACAGTAGGCAACCGAATTTTGAATGGGGAAAATGCCCTGGCGGGAGCCTGGCCATGGCAGGCAAGCATGCAATGGAAAGGCCAACACCACTGTGGTGCCTCTCTGATCAGCAGCAGGTGGCTTCTATCTGCAGCTCACTGCTTTGCTAGGTAAGTTTGAACATCTGACTAAGTGTAAGATTCTGGTTGCAGATCTATTTGGGAGGTCTTTGAAGGTTAACCTAAATGCATGACGTTCACCAGGACTACATGAAATTTACAAGTACTCTCATAATTAAGGGCAGTGAAGACATTTAAGAGCTTCCTAGGTGGCACTAAAGAACTTGCCTGTCAACACAGGAGACTCCAGTTTGATCCTTGCATCAGGAAGATCCCTTGGAGGACAGTATGGCAACCCACTCCAGTACTCTTGCCTGGAGGACCCCCATGGACAGAGGATCCTGGGAGGCTACAGTCCATAGGGTCGCAAAGAGTTGGACCCAACTGAAGCAACTGCGCACACACACGTGCAAACAAAGGCATTTAAATGGGGGCAACTAAGGGAAAAGCGAATGGAAGCAATTAACATTTCCCAAATAAGGGCTTTGTCCTGATGCTAAGTGCTTTCCTCACATCATTTGATGTAATCATAACAATAATACCATGTGAAAAGTATACTTGAAACTATTTAAAGGTGAGGAAATCGGGTTTAGAAATGGTGATATAACTTGACCAAGATCCTACCACAGTTAAACAATAGGAACCAAGTGTGAACTCAGGTATGTCTAAATCCAGTTACAAGGGGCTTATTTGTCTTGTGCTCTAGGGATTTACAATCTAGCTGAAGAAATTTAAATGTGGTATATTAAAGGTATTATGCAGCATAGAGTAGTAAGTTGTCACACATACAACATAGATGTTAGTATGCGCTATGGACACTTGATGAAGATAGAGAACATATTCTAGCTGAGATATGCAGTTACAAGTTTGGTACCAGACTCTAAAGAGTTAAAGTCTGTTTGATTGGAGTACATAGATCAGAAAGAATAATGCATATTTTGAGTTGAAAAAATAGTCATCTTCAAGTGTGTTGGGATGAAGAGACACAAGTTGTATTCTATGGACAGCAAACAAAAATAACTATTTGAAGTAAAGAAGATTTGTAAAAGGAAACATTAGAAAATATGCTTAGAAAATATAGTTTTATTCAAAAACAAACAACAACAACAACAAAAAAAGAAAATATAGTTTTATTCATCAGGGACACCTCTAAATGACAAGATGTTTACTTACTAAAGAAACACAGCTATTGAGTGTGTGGAGTCACTGAAGACTTCAGAATGGGAGAAGGATTCAAGAGGGTAACAGTTACATGAAGATCTTGAAATCTTCAAAAAAAAAATGCACCTGACATTTTGAGGAAAGTGACAGTAATTAAATAGGATGTTGGGGCCTAAATTGAGAAAGAATTTCAGAGGAACTGGAGAACCTGGTCAAAAAATCTAAATTAGAAGCCAAGATGCATTGACTTGGTAAATATAGTGGAGTGATTGGGTGAGAACAAGTTGCAATTTTTTTTATGTATGCAGACAGACGTCAAGAGCCCTGCCATGGGCTCATGGAGTCCAGCGTACACGGCAGTATGTGTGATTCTGGACCCCATGCACTGAGGCTGCTCATGCGAATGCTCAAATGCATAGAAACCAGATGGGGCTGAAGTAGCAGGAGACATCAGTGACTATTTAGCAGTATTTGTAGTGTGCTAACAGCTCCAATATGGGCTTCCCTGGTGCCTCAGAAGGTAAAGAATCTGCCTGCAATGCAGGAGACTGGGGTTTGATCCCGGGGTTGGGAAGATCCCCTGGAGAAGGAAATGGCAACCCACACCAATATTCTTGCCTGGAGAATCCCATGGATACAGGAGCCTGCTGGGTTACAGTCCGTGGGGTTGCAAAGAGTCAGACATGACTGAGCAACTAACACACACACACAACACTTCAATACAGGCTCCCCTGGTGGCTCAGATGGTAAAGAACCTGCCTTCAAGGAAGGAGACATGGGTTCAAACTCTGGGTCAGAAATATCCCCTGGAGAAGGAAATGGCAACCTACTCCAGTATTCTTGCCTGGGAAATCCTATGGACAGAGGAGTCTGGTTGGACACGACTTGGCAACTAAACAACAACACACAGCTCTAATAGTCCTTAGGACTATTTTTACGTGTCTGCAGCATTTATGACATCCCCACATCAAAGACATTTTTAAAACAAGAATTTAAGTGCTTTATAGTACTGTTTGGGAAACATCTTAAAGTTATAAAATAACTACTGAGAATACCATTTTGACCCTCAAATTGAGTGTATTTTAATTAAACTGTGCCTTTCAGGAAAAATAATTCAGAAGATTGGATGGTTAACTTTGGAACTGTAGTAAATAAACTGTATATGACACGGAAAGTTCAAAACATTATTGTTCATGAAAATTTTAGTAGCCCTGGGATTCATGATGATATTGCCCTTGTACAGCTCGCTGAAGAAGTCTCTTTTACAAAGTATGTTGATAAGATTTGTCTTCCTGAAGCTAAAATGAAACTCTCAGCAAATGACAGTGTTGTAGTTACAGGATGGGGAACACTTTATATGAATGGTAAGTTTATGTGAATGGTAAGTTTTTATGTAAATATGTAATAGCTTCATAGGAATAATTATTTAATCAATCATTCACTCTTTCATGCAATTAACCAATTCATAAAAAAAAAAAAAACTGAAAAGAAAACGAAGTGATGGGACCAAAAAAGCATGGCGTCGTCTTCAGTTTCTGAAATATCTCTGGGAATATGAACTGGAAAATTTGGAATTTCTGTGTGAGGCAGCCAGCTATAATAAACATTAGAAAGAAACCAGTCTAGCCTGGGACTGGTCTGCCTCTTGGTGACCAAAAGAATCTGCTTTATTCTACAGATTGTTCTTTGTCTTAACAAACAAGGTTAAGATCTCCATAATATGTAGCATTTGTTGCCCTTAGGTCCTCTTCCAGTGATACTTCAGCAGGCCTTTTTGAAGATTATTGATAACAGAGTTTGCAATGCTCCATATGCATTATCTGGCTTGGTGACTGATACAATGCTATGTGCTGGATTTATGTCAGGAGAAGCAGATGCCTGTCAGGTACTTTTAGATACATTATCAAATCATTTTTCCCAAGTACTAATTCAATGGAAGTTTTTACCACTATCTTTTATTTTAATGATTTTTACAGAGTAGTTTCTTATTTCAATACACCTAACAAATATTTATTCATCTCATTAATGTACCAGGCCCCAGCTCAGAAGCTGGAGATGCAGTGGTGAACACAACTCTGCTCTCAGGAAGTTTTTAGTCTAGGAATCCATGGTTACAAGGTAATAAAATAAATTTGGCCCTATTTTCTGGGCAACCTGCAGACCTACGAGGCTGCCTCTTCATTATCCAGAGATGCCACATGCACATGTCATCCATTCTACAGAGGCTTCATCATGGAGTCACTTTCGCCATTGTTAAGGTTGGACTCATTACAAACTCAACTTCTAGTCTTCCCAACCCAGTCCAGTCCAGTTGTAGGCACTGTGTTCTGATTTATAATTTCCCTGGGTTCTGAAGAAACTCAGGAGTTCCACAGTTCTAAGCCTGAAGAGCATGAATTGTCTGTACTGCCTAGAGCCTATTGAAAACTCAAGAGTAGAGACAGAAATGTTTCAGGACAAGAAACTTTTTTTTTTTCTTGTTTTCTTCTAGAATGATTCTGGTGGACCACTAGCTTACCCCAACTCTAGGAACATCTGGCACCTTGTTGGAATAGTAAGCGCGGGAGAAGGGTGTGGTAAAAAGAATAAACCAGGTGTCTACACTCGAGTGACTGCTTATCGTGACTGGATTACCTTCAAGACAGGACTCTGAAAGAGAAGTAACTTTGGAACATAACAGAAAGACAACTATAGGATATTCTTATCCATTTTCTCAAAATATTTTTCTTTTTACTGTTGATATAACAATTATTTTCTTACATACAAATGAATGAAGGTCTTGATTAATGTTTTATTTTATCTAAAATACTATCCATTCATTTATTTATCTATTTAACTAATATAGGAAGCAGAAAGAAAAAGAGGAAGATAAAAATATTTTTATTAATACCTTAGTTCTGGTTTACCTTGTCATTAAATTAAGAATATACTTTATTTTTCAGAATTTAAAAAAATTCACATTTTGTTAGTATGAGAACAAATATGCTAGATATACCAAATAAATTATTTTTCATTCTATAAGTTACAAATTCATTTTGTTAAACTGGACTGTATAAGACAATAATGGACATTCACACTTTATTTATATTTGAGATAGCTTTTATGATCTCAGAAAATCTTATAATCTTGGAATGGAGAAGGGATATCAGAAGTTCAGGTAGTCCAAGTCTCTTAATTTATAGAGTGAGGAACACTAAGCGGAACAATTATTTGCTTACAGTCATTCTTCAGCCTTTGATAGAGTGTAACCCTCACATAAATTTTCCCTCAATAAAATTTAAATTCAAAATGAGTCAAGAATTTTAAAATGACCTAAAGTTATAATTATATAATATTTTCTTCATGTCCTTTTGTCATCTGTTTGCATTCTCAGGGAAGAGGAGAGTATGGCACTTATTATAGTAGCTCTCTTGACAGTACACATGTGGTTACACAGAGGGCTGACTTTGTAATCTCTGTGAATAATTCACCTTTTGTAATTTCTTAAAAATAAAAATGTAGCTTAAAATTTCAAAAACAGCTAAAATAAACTAAAAAATTCTCTCCCTTCAATTGTTTTTGACATTACTTTTTTCTTTATTGTAAATTGCGACTCAAATGACAAGCACAGTGATGTGAAGTCATTCCATAACCAAGTATGACAAGATGATGCTTTTTTCCTCCCCACTCCTTACTCAGGACAATCACACATATTTATTGAACGCCCAATGTGTTTCAGGAAATGTCAGGTATGGACACAGTATCATCTTTCAAGGATGCTGCATTTAGAGGATAAAGATAGGCAGTGAAGACATAAGTAAGAATCTCAATAAGTGTTACAAAGAAAAAAAAATGATATGATAGAAAATAATAGGGCTGATGAGATGTACTTGAGATTGGGCAGTCTGAGCAACTTTTTCAGAACAGTATCCTCAAGATTGCCAGGAGAAATATTAAAAACCTCAGATATGCAGATGATACCACTTTAACAGAAGAAAGCAAAGAGGAAATAAAGAGCCCCTTGATGAAGGTGAAAGAGGAGAGTAAAAAGCTGGCTTAAAACTCAGTATTAAAAAACTAAGATCATGGCATCCAGTCCCATCACTTCATGGCAAATAGAAAGGGAAAATGTGGAGGCAGTAACAGATTTCCTCTTCGTGGGCTCTAAGATCACTGTGGATGGTGACTGCAACCATAACATTATAAGATGACAGCTTCTTGTCAGGAAAGCTAGGACAAGCCTAGACAGTGTATTAAGAAGCAAAGACATCACTTTGCCAACAAAGGTCCACGTAGTTGAGGCTATGGTCTTTCCGGGAGTCATGTACTGATATGAAAGCTGAACTGTAAAGAAAGCAAAGCACGAAAGAATTGATGCTTTTGAGCTGTGGTGATGGAGAAAACTATTGAAAGTCACTTGGACAGCAAGGAGATCAAACCAGTCAATCTTGAAGGAAATCAACCCTGAACACATATTGGAAGGACTGATGCTGAAGACCCAATACTTTGGCCACCTGATACAAACAGATGACTCATTGGAAAAGACCCTTATGGTGGGAAAGATTGAGGGCAGGAGGAGAAGGGGGTGACATAGGATGAGATGGTTAGATGGCATCACCAATTCAATGGACATGACCTTGGGCAAACCTCAGGAGATGGTGAGGGACAGGGAAGCCTGGCATGCTGCAGTCCATAGGGTTGCAAACAGTCAGACATAACAGTGACTGAACAACAGCAAATAGAAAGCTACTGCTTGCTCCTTCCTGAATCTATGTTCAGCAATGTCATGTGAGTAGCTTGAAATTGATCATGGTGTATTTAGACCTTGAAAATTGATCAGTGCTACAAGTTGGCTCCTAGTCCATAGCCCTGAGACCTGGTTATTAAGTATTTACCAGCACACCACTGAATGTAACTACATATTACTCATTTGCAATTTTAAAAGAAATCTTCAAGCGAGGGTGGGATGTTTCAAGAGAACAGCATCGAAACATGTATATTATCTAGGGTGAAACAGATCACCAGCCCAGGTTGGATGCATGAGACAAGTGCTCGGGCCTGGTGCACTGGGAAGACTCAGAGGGATCGGGTGGAGAGGGAGGTGGGAGGGGGGACCGGGATGGGGAATACATGTAAATCCATGGCTAATTCATTTCAATGTATGACAAAAACCACTGCCATGTTGTAAAGTAATTAACCTCCAACTAATAAAAATAAATGGAAAAAAAAAAAAAAAGACCTTGGAAACCTGAAAAAAAAAAAAAACAGTGGAGAATAAAGACTGTTGCTAACTTCAAAAAATAAAAAAATAAAAAATAAATAAAAGAAATCTTCACCAGATGATTGGCTTCTCTGGTTGCTCAGATGGTGAAGAATCTGCCTGTAATGTGAGGGACCCAGCTTCAGTTTCTGGGTCAGGAAGATCCCCTGGTAAAGAGAATGATGCAACTTGAGCATGATTTCTATTCCAGGACATTACATTTCAGATTTGCAGTTTACAGTGGTTAATTAAAGGATTACAAAAAAAATCATGTTTTTGTGTTTTGCAAAAAAAAATCATATGATTACAAAAAAATCAATCTTTCATAAAATGTTGTTTTCTTTATAACTATTATAATTCTTTGTGAAAATAAAATAATTCTATTGTACTTTATTAAGTTGTTTCCTCAATAAATTTAGTCATCTTCATTTAAAACTTGTCACAATTCACACTCGTGGTTGAATAAACAAAACTTTATTTTAATTAAACACAGGAGTATACAAGAATTCCATTAAATAACTATCTTTGGTTTCAAATGTTTACACTGTACATCAGATTTATATCATCTATCAAAAATAAGATTCAACAAAGCAGAAATCACTAGCCAGAGTAATGAGAGTCTGTCCCCACATTTTCCTTCCCAGACATTTGATGAAAGAGAAGGGATTAAAGGGCATCAAACCAAGCCACAATCAGAGCAGGAACAAAGTCTTGGTTATCAGGGAGTCTAGGAGAATTTCTTTGTTCTGCTTAAAATCTACTCCACCCTTGGACTCATCACCCTTGGAGAATAAAACCTAAACTCTTAATTATGATTAGCAAATCCATAAAAAGCTTGACACACTCTTCCTACTCATTAGTCAGGACATGTTTAGTGAGTTCCCTTCTTACCAGGAAGCCTTTTCTGATGTCCCTAGTCTGGTGTTCCAGATTGCCCCAGGCATACACCTGTTACTGTGCTTTCTACAAAATGGAAACATCTATTTTTTGCATCTGAGTATCCTACTAAACAGTTTCTCAAGAGCACTTTTCTGTCTCTGTGTTCCTGAACTGGTGTCTGGTTCAATGGAAGTAACAGTCCCATACAACTGAATAACACCGAAATATACTATTAGAATCTGGCTGCTGTATGCTGCTCTGTGCTTTTTCCCATTAAGCCCTTGTATTTAACCTGTGCTCTAATTTTGCTACTACTTCAGATTTCTGAAATATGCTATTCTGGGCCTTTCAAATGCTGTACTCCTTATCTAGAATGTCCTTCTCTGACATTTTTCTCCTGGTAACTGTACTTCAAAAATTAGTTCACACCTTTGTGAGACTTATCAACTTTTTTTTAGTCCATGTTGCACAGCTTGGCATATGAGCCCTTAGTTCCCTTACCAAGGATTGAACCCAGGCTCTCATTAGTCAAAGTGTGGAGTGCTAACCATTAGACCACAAGGGAGTACCAATCCACTGTGTTCTTATGGATTTTGTGCTTACTGTCATCAAGCCATTATCTCATCCTGGAAAGTTCTACAAAGCCAACAAATATTAATACAATTTATTTTTAGCCAATATTAATTTGGCCCTAACTCCCTACATTTTATTTACCAATTCCTCTTTTTATCCTCCACTCAGATCCATATCAAAGACAAACTTTTATTTCATTTCAACAAGTATATTTAAAAATTGTTTAATTATACAAGCAAGCAACATATTAACACATTATTCTTAACAAATTCATTACATATCAAGATAAAGTTTCTTTAGTTATCATTTTCAATTCTTATATATTTTTTCAATTTTCAAATTTGTTCAAATTTTTTTTCAAATATTTTTTAATTTTTTCAAATTTTTTCAAATTTCAATTTTTTCAATTTTCAATTCTTATTTTATCAATTCTCCTTGGAGGTAATTATTAATAATTATTAATAATTATTTTGGAATCCTTCCAGATATTTTAAATATATTTACCTTTTTATAAATAAATGCATGAATTTAAATATATACATTAACTTCTATTAAAATGTAAATATTATTTTCTTTTAATTACTTTCGTTATTGTATCAAATTGTGATCCTGCATCTCATGTTTTTTACTCAATAATTTTTCTTAAAATTTTTCTATACAGATTTACAACTCTATCAGAGTTCAGAGTAGAAGAAGCATTTTATTTATTCATTTTAGAAAAGACATTTTAAACAGAAAGCAATTTGAAGTATGAAATCATGTATTTCAAAAGTTATTAGAAGGGCTGGTGTGAAGGCCCTAGGCTGAACTTCAGGGATGACCCATAAAACAGTAGAGAACTGATGCCCAGAAGAGATAGCCCCTGTGGCAGTATTGAATTCAATAGCTAAGATCCAGGGATCAGAAAGGCCCTAGCAGCAATGATACTTCTACCACAGCCTCCTGACACCAGTAAGCTGGTC